CTATAATCGGAGGTGATTTTATCCAAATTCTTTCAGGTCTACTCATAGCGTAGAGAGAGGAAATTGTGGGTGCTACCACCAATTCTCACAAATGTGATTGTAATGTAAAGTTTATAGGTTAGCTAAGAATATGAGATTGCATTTATCTACACGCTCTTGCACTGATAGGGGCACATAATCTTTTTCTGTATTGATAAGCAAAGTCAAAGATGGAAAACTTGAACAAGTGATTGATGAAACTGCTGACGTTGAAATCCCGCTTGAATTCATGATGCTTGACACAAGTTACCCCCTCAAGAGTATATATTGGACTTTACTTATCCAAACCTATTAGAGAACATGAAAAATTATTCTTTTTTGAGGATAGTGCATTATTAGCACCCACAATCGAATTTGTTAAATGACAAATGAATTTGTCATATCCCTTATTCTAAGAGGTAAAAAAAGTACTTACGTTCTCATTCTTCATGCCAAACATATTTAGATGTAGTTGTTAAAGACGATTAGATAACAGTTCAATTCTTCTTAATGAAATCAAATGTTAGGGGATTGAAACCATAAAATAGTTTTTAAAAGGGGGTACCGATTATGTTATTGAAGAACATTGACCAAATATATGGATTGTGTATTGGTAAAAGATTAATCATTAAAGAGATGTGAAAGAACATTATCAATGTAATTGATGTTTCGAGACATCGCGTTGGAGAAAAAGGTTTACATACCCTGAATAAAATTTGGTATCATCTGATAGAATTCTCAATATAATAGTCTTATGTTTTGCTATGACTATAAACAAAAGTCAATGTCAAACATTGTCCTTTGCTATATTATTTTTAACCAATTCGGGATTTACTCATGGTTAATTTTATGTTACTGTTTCACGAGTAAAGAAAAAGACATGATTAAAATTATTGGTTCTAGATGAAAATAAAAACGCTTACAACGATACAAAAAATGCTGTGTACACTAAAGTCTTTCAAAAAATTTGGAATTAAAAAAAATTTTTTCGAGTACACTTTCAATTTCTCAAATATTATATTCTACTTTTTCATTGTTTTCCATTGATTAAAATTTGTGACAGAAATATATTTACTTGATTTTGGAATAAATATTTCATTGAAAAATTTCAAAATCGACAACAGTTTCGTTCGACCCCGTGCATCGCACGGGTCAAAATACTAGTTCTAAAAAAACATGTCTCATTTTCCATTTTATTGAGGCTGATTTTCCATTGATGTCTCATTTTCTATTTTCCCACACACACAAAATAGAGATAATAATTTATGCCAAGTCATTCTCTCCCGTTGGAAAGAGACCCTTATCGAGAGGATTTTTAGTGTTTTAAAATTTGCTTACACGCCGCCGTGCCGGCCTTGACTGGTCATCAATTGACCACAAACCGTCAATATAAAACCCTCCCATTTCATTTTTTGAAAAGTAAATCCCCAAATTGAAAACCCTTCTAACTATGATCCCAGCAATGCCTTCCTCCACCACCACCGCCGCCGCAACAACGGCGGATCACGGCGAAGGGACGACCATCTCCGCCCTCCACCCGGAGATAATTCGAACCCACTTATTAACCAGACTCGACGGCCCGACTCTCGCCTCTGCCGGCGCCGCCTTTACAGAACTTCACGCCCTCTGTTCCGAAGAGAATCTCTGGCGCCGACTCTGCCACTCCTCTTGGCCGTCGACCGCCGACCCGATCGCCCGCCACGCCATCTCCGCCTTCCCTTCCGGCCACCGCTCTTTCTTTTCCGACTCTTTCCCCACCATCCATCACCGCGGAGACTCTCTCCCCTCCCACCGTCCACCGGCGACAGAGCTCATATCCGCCGTGGACATATTCTACGGCGAAAAATCGATATACTCAAAAGCCGTAGTCTCCGAAACCGTGTCCAATTGGTTCTCGTCTTCCCCTTTCAGACTTGAGCTTCCCAACACAAAAGGGACGCCGAGAACTTTCCCCTGTGCGGCCGGGCAAGAAAAACTGACCCTGAGCTGGATCCTGATCGACCCGTCGGAGAAACGCTCCGTCAACGTATCCAGCCTGAAACCCGTCGGATTCCGGCAAAACTGCTTCACCGGAGACATCGAGATAAGGTTCGCCACGGTCTTGGAGGGAGGGGGCGGGGACTGGGTGCAGTTCAGCGTGGTGGTCACGTGCGAGGGGAAGGAGGGAGGGGAGGCGCACGTGCGGGAGGCGAGCATGCAGGTGGAGGACATGGAGGGGAAGAGCGTGAACGGGAAGGAGAGTTTGGTAATTATACAAGAAGCCATGGGAATGAAGAGGAGGAAGAGGAAAGAGGGAGAGGAGAAAGAAAGGTATGAGGAATTCGAAGAGCGTAAGAGAGAACGGAAGGAGATTAAGGAGAGAAGGGAGAAGGGGTTGGATTTGGCGTGCATAGCCGCCGTACTTTCCACTTTGATTGTGTTTCTTACCTTAGTTTTGTTTGGGTCCGGAAGGGTAGTTTGGTAAATGCTACGAGTGTTTTTATTTAAAGTTACTTGAAAAAAGAAATGTAAGGAGAGGTCAAACTAGACAAGTTTTGATGTCAATAGATACAAATTATGATGCATTGTAGAAAGAATAATATACCTTGTTTTTGGGATGCATGGAATTGAATAGGCAATGCAATTTTTGTTTAATTAATAATTGAGGTTCATTCAAGGAGGTGTCAATTGTTTTTGATAATTATTAAAAACGCGAGAGATCATAAAATGATAATTATCTGTGTGTGTACAAGATCATAAATGATCATGGTGCAAATCATGCATGATGACTTTCTCACGTTTTTGAATGAATTACAATTTTATTTTGAAAGTTCGACGGTGGCCCCTGAACGAGACAAAAAATAGGTCTTCATAATAATAAATTAAATTATATAAATTATTTTCTTTAAAACAATAATTAATAATACATATAATATTATAATTAAATATCATAATCATTACTTTAAAAATTAAAGTTTTTAACTTTTTTATTAAAAAAATATACGACGTATATATTTAAAAATCAAAAGTTTTGGGCTTCTGAAAAAACTGCATCTGGAGTGGTTGGGTAGCTTGACCCACCCTTAGGCCGGCCCTAGTTTGACCTCATTGACAAATATATCACCATTACTTTATTTTTTTTGGCAATTACCAGTTACAAGAAATTGGTTTTTTTGTTTAAAAATCTAACGTATTGTCTTATCAGCATAAATCCAGAAAAAAATCAAAACTCAAACAATTTTTGAGACATCTAATGCAAAATACTCCCACATACTCTATATAATTTTTCTCCTTCTTACCATTTTCAATCACACAGTTTTATTATTTTAATTTTGTATCAAGTTAAACATAGAGCTTTTCTACTAGATGAAGGGATGTATTATGTAATAAAATAATCCAACCCAAAATCAAATCATCTAAGGTACTCCCTTCGTCCTTCCAATTTTTGTCCACTTTCATTTTTACACTTCATTTAATACACTTCTTTAATCCATTTTATCTTGTAATTTGTATATTAAAAATTATAAAAATTATATATTAATAATCTATATGTTAAGACAAATCAAACAAGATCACACATGACTATATTTTGGCTTACACATTGAGAGAATTTAATGAGTCAAAGTACTTAGATGAATATTTTCAAAAATTAAAAGTGGACAAGAACTGGGAGAAGGAAGGAGTATGTTTTTTTTTTGTCTTGGGAAGAAACAATCAGTGCGGTAGGTTGAGGAAAAGAATACGGAGTAGTCTAAAGATGATGAGTTTCAAAAGAAGGGGTTCAAGCCCAATACAAGCACAACCCAAATAAACGATAGCCCAAAAAACAAAAATACAATGAGAAAAATTTGAAAAAATCAGTCCCATATGCATAAGTCTAAAGTTGTCAAAAGTGAAAAATGCTTTGCATATGCATCAATTTACTGGGTCAAACTTACCATTTCCCTTTCGGTTATATGTAGTAAAAAAAACTGGAAAAAAGGAGCACTTCAATTGCCATTTACCTTTCGGTTGTATCACTACTACAAAAATGACCTTTTAAATCGGTTATTTGGACCCTTTTAAACCGATGCAAAAGCCAGCGATGCAAATACTCAGGTAATTTTTTGCATCAGTTAAAACCAATTCAAAAGCTCCTTTCCAGAAATGGCACCAATTCTGGGAAGAGACATTTGCATCGGTTATTTTGTAATAACCGATTCAAAAGCTACATATATGTAGTCAAAAATTGGAAAAAAGTACTTCAAGTAGAGCTTTTGACTCAAACAATGACTTTGATTGATTCAAGATTCCAAGTAGTGTTGGAAAGCTTATTTAGAGAACACAATCATATGAAATTAAATTCAAGAAAAATTCACATAAATAATTTCAAATTTGATCAATTATACAATATTACTTTCGTATTCTCTTTTACACACCACTATTCCGAGAATTTTCCATATTTTACATTTTTACTCTAGTGCGACTCAGTCAACTTCGGACTTAATTACGTACAATTATTTTAGCTATAAAGACATCCAAAGTATTCAATTGGAAAGACATACAAAGTGATGGTGAACTTCTCGAAACCCGACGTATCCGAATTAATTAATTAAGAATAATTAATTAATTATTGAGATGGATATAGAGTACTGAATTTGAAGCCCGACGTATCCATTGTGTAAGATTCAACAAGACGAATCCAACGGCGAAAGTGAATCTGAATTCGAAGCAAGTTGGCTCAAAAAGTATATTTTTAATCAAGGTACATTAATTTAATTACGGAGTCAAAAACCTCAAACCTATAAATACTACCCCATGTGCCTAAACCTACGTGTCGCCGCCCATATACGTAACACACTCACACACACACTCTCTCGTCTCTTGTTTTGATCGAACTAGCAGAGCAGCGAGAAACAACACGGAGGGAAAGAAGAAGGAAGAGGAAGAGAAGTTGTGCCATCACCGCCGTTCGTTAGAATCGTTCTCTGTAGTTTCTTCATCGAATTCGAGGTGACTACAGACATCTAACATTAGGTTATATTTATAAGTTTAAATCTTAGGTTTGTAGAATCATTACGGTTGATATATGTGAAACCATATGTGTGATAGTTCGATTGTAGGTTAGAATGCATGGTCTGATACTTTTCTAATTAAGGTAAGGTTGGATATGATTAGGAATTGAATTATGAACATATTGGTATTGAATTGTATGGAATTGATGTGTATTTCTTGCTAGAATTCGAGCTTGTGCAGGAATAGGATTATCACGTTAGGCGTAAGCGAGCGTTCGGTACCCAGGTACCAGAGGGACTGTAGACCCTACTGCCGGGACAGTAGCTTACTACCGCCACATGCCATTTGGTGCTGGCGGGCTCTGTCCTAGTTGATACAAGCTTAGGTACTACCTGGACGATACCCAGGTACCGTACTAGTGCCCAGATACCAGACTAGATACAGTCTCGTACCACAGAACTGTTCGTGAACCTGTTTTTGTATCGAGAACTTATTCTAAGCCCTTGCATGTTGCATGATGGTAAGCATGGGTGTTCACACATAGCGCTAGGTGTGATCATATTTGGTTATGTTGGAAATGGTTGTGTTTATTTCATGTGATATGCACTTGTGAATGTCATATAACATTAAAGTGACGTATTAACCTAAAGGAACTCTAGGATTTGACCATAAAGGAATAAAGGCAAGATATGCCATAAACATAAAAGGTTAGAGCCATGTGGCACCTGCTGGGTCGAATTGAATGGCTATTCAAGTATAAACGTGTGCACAAGGATCTATGAACTGTCGTTTCCAAATGGGTTAGAAATCTCACCCACCCAACAAAGAACTCTAGAGTTGGTAGATCTTGACCTTCCTTCCGAAAGAGAAGGTCATAAATCCAATAAGTTTGTTAGAATCAGTATAAGCTTAAACCTAGAATAGGTTATGAGCCAAGCAAGTTAGTTGACCAAAATAACAAGAGCATGATATCTTATATTGTTGATGTTGTTTATGAATTGAGTTGTTACATTGATATTCATGATGAATTTGTATGCATGATATTGTATGATGTTATGGGCTAGTGAGATCGTCTATATGTATAACTGAATGTTAGATATTTCTCATTTAGTTTCAATACTGAGTGTGTAGCATTTGTTCTTTTACTGCACGTAGGTAACTAGAATCAAGATGAACTTGGAGCCAATCTTGGATGGTGATGAGGACAAAGAGATGTGCGTGGAAGCAATTGAATATTTGAATTGTTATTTATCATTTAAATACTCACTACTTTTATGGGCTTGAATCCCAAGTTTGTTCTGAATAATGACTTAAAATTACATATTGTTTTTAATTACTCTGATGAATGTTTGAAATTATATTTTAAAGTATTAGTTTTAAATTGTTTTAAACACGAATTGTGTTTGGATACCAATTTAGTGGCAACCCGGTTTGTTAGCTAATGTATTTGGGTTATGCAGGTTGGAGTATTACAGATGGAATGAATTTGGACTTCATTTGTTTCTTATAAAATTTTATTAACTTATTTAAAAAATTCAAATTGTAACGCCCTGAAAATAGGCCTATCAAAATTAATTAATTGATAATTAATTAATTACTGAGAAGGACCCAAAAATAAGTGAATTATAACATTTGCCAATAATTAATAAAAATTATATCATTGTGTAGAGTTTGAGTGTCTGACCCCAACGGTTCAATCAGATTTCAATTCGGAGAGTTGGATCGAAAAGTGTACCCGGACTGGGACAAAAAATAGTCCCAATCATAGACTACGTAACAAACGGCGCCGCTCCATGTTCAAATACGCTGATTTCAAATCACTGTGCAATCAAAGAAGCTACGAACTCCCTGTCTTCTTCCTCCTTCACTTGACTATTTAAGGAGAGTCAATTCCTCCATTTCATTACCAAAAATATTCATTCTTCCTTCTATATTGTTCTTTGCTAAGAGTAGAGTGTAATGGTGCTGTCATTCTAGTGTGAGGTTGCCGGAGCAGAGAGATATATATAGTCGCCGGAAGTTTCGCTGGAAAATCTTCAAAACCTCCATTACGCTTCAAGGTAAGCCCGTAGATATATCTAAAGATTAGAATGTTCATATAGGTTGTTTTTACGTTCATAAATGGTCGTTTGGTTGAGTTTTGTGTGTTAGACAATAATATTATTGTCTAAGCTAGTGTCCAAGCTTCCTCTTGCTTCAGCCAGAGTTCAGCTTGAGGGGGGATGTTAGACAATAATATTAATAGTATTTCTTGTAGTATTGGTTATGGTAGTGTTTCATTATTAGTCAGCTTTCTAATCCTATTTGTGGTAGATGTTGTATGTTAGTTAGTTTCCATTCTCTATTCCTAGTTGTGTTAGGAGTCTCTTCTATATATACTCTATCATGTACTCCATAATTCAATGAGCAATATTATTATTCCAATATTTCAACATTGTGTTTGACATGTTTGAAGAACCAAGAATCATACACCTTGAGTTTGATGTTAAAATCATGAATTAATAATACTAAAATGATCTATGAACCTTAGAGAATATTTTTCTATAATTTAGTTGAAGTTTGGTAACTAAAAATGATATTTCCGAAAATGGATCGAAGGTATTTATTTCAGATGCCAATGCATAAGCTCTCTGTACATCATTAAAAAAGTACTTGGATCATTGTTTTCACTTATAGGACTTGAGTCCATTGAAATATTTCTTGGTATTTATTGTGTTTTTCTTCTTCTACAATGGCTTTGTGTAAACATAAATATGCGTTGGTCATTGTGCTTGAGGTTGGTTTATTGGTATGCAAACTAGGGGATACACCTCTACACCGCAATATCAGTCTGGATTTCTTTGCATAATCCAGCGCAATATTAACGACTTGTGGGTGGTCTAGTTTATCTAACCATTACCAAGGTTGATTTGTCTTACTTCGTGCGTATTCTCTCCCGTTTATGCAAGCACATATTGTTAACCATATGGTTTCTACTATGCGCGTCCGGTAATACATTAAAGGACATCCAGGTCAGGATATCTTGTTATAGAGTGACAATTATCTTCAAATTATTGCATATTGTGACTCTGACTGGTTAGTTTCCCTCTATCACGACATTCTCGATCTCGTACGTGGAAGACTTAAAAGTAGATTACTTTTTAGTTGTAGATGAGGTTGAGTATCACACTATGGTGAATGGTAGCATGGAGATCACGTAGATATGTGGTCTTTTTGGTGCTCTTGGTGTGCTAGTTCTTTTATCCTCCACGTTTATTCTGCGATAATCTATCAAATTTGTATATTGCAACCAATCGAGTATTTCATGAGCATATGAAGAAATTTGATATTGATTATCACACGATTTGAGAATCTGTTCAGCCACGAGAAAATGGCACTCATTATGTTCCTTCATGCTATTAGCTAGCATATTTATATACTAAATCTTTGTTTAGGCCTATTTTTTATTTTTTTAATCATTTAAGTTGGTCATTCAAGACATTCATGCCTCAACTTGATGCAGAGTGTTAGTGGATATTTATTGTAAATAGACTTACTATGAATAAATGAGCTGTATAGTGCGTGTATTGGGCCCATGTCGGTACTTGTATATATATCGTGCTGATGTTAATGAAAGTGAGAACAATTTCACATCGAAATTCTACATGTGTCAAGGAACCAAGTTAATTGAAACTCAAAGCTTCTGTTGTATGCCCAGGAAAGATTTTATTTTTTTTATTTTCCAACAACACGAAAATGAGTTAAATAGATTTATCTTTTAAAATAATTTTTAAAAATAATTTTACTTTAATTATTAATATACAATCTAATAAATTATTTAATTGATGATCATAATTTATCAAGTTTGATTAAAAAAGTTATATTAAACCAAAACACTAGAGGTGTGCGAGTATATTTTAAAATCTTCTACTCCATGAGTCTGGGAAAATACTTCAATTCCTAATTTGGCCAAAAGCCAAAATAAGGAATGGTTAAGTTGTAGTTGACTTTGCAATTTTGTCTTTGATGTGATAGATTAAAGTAAAATGTGATGAATAGATTATTAGTGAAAAAATATGATGTGACAGGTAAAATAAATAAATAAGGGTAAAATAACTATTAATAAAAAATGGAAATATTTTAGTGAAAGAGAAAAGAAATGAAGAAAGTGGATAGGAATGAAGCTAAGAATGCACCAGTCATCTTCTCCACCTAATAACTCATCTCTCATATTCAATTTTCACCAATCACCGAACTCTCTACATACCCTAATGCTATACTCTATCATATCCTCTCCTGTTAATTACACAATAAATTCCGTATTTAATATCCTCTCAATTAGTTTTTGGCCTCCAACTCCATATATAAAACTCCCCTCTCTTATTAATTAAATTTTCATTTCTCAAGCTTCTCTTCTTCTTTAATTTTCCCCTCTTATTTTTATTCTCCATTTCATCAATTGTATATACTTCAAAGATACTTTTTACCAGATGAAACAAATAAAATCAATCATATACTTAGTCAACGAGACGCTAATAATGCCTATTTTCGTTGATCATATTTTATGGTAAAAAAACATAAATAAATTAGTTCATTGGTATGACTTTTATATTTTGTACGTGTGGCCGGTGGTATTAGTTGCGGAAAGTATTTATTATTTTCATTGTTGACTACATTTTCTACTTTGTTTTATTTTTCTTTAATTTTCCCTTTTGGCTTGTTTATAAATACAATTCGTTGGAAACTCCGGACAAACTCCAATTTTTTTATCTGAATAAAGGGGAAAAAATTTTAGAAATGAACCCCAAAAAAGAGGGCCGCCGTCCAGAGCTGGATTTGGAGCTCAACTTATCGCCACCGCGAGCCACCGCCAGTCCACCACAGTCACCGCCGTTATCTTCTTTGTCGTCCATGAAGCCGTCACCGCCGAGCTCGTGCGTGTCTTGGGAGCTAGGCCAAGGGGACGATGGCGGAGACAGCAGCCCCTTGGCGGAGGCGGCGGCGGGGCAGATGATGGTGGTGGTTGGGTGCCCTAGATGCCTGATGTATGTTATGCTGGCAGAGGAGGACTGCCCAAAATGTCCCGTGTGCAAAAGTACGGTCTTGCTAAGATTTCTTCCTTGACGAAAGGGTCATCAACACCTCTCACAAGTAGTGTTGAAGATTATTGATGCATGCATGTGAAATTTAATTTGTCCAAACTTTTTTTTAGTAATACTGGACACCACCCATGCTTCTTTCTCTCTCTCTCTCTTTTTTTTTTTTGGTTTTCACATATATGTGCATATACAATAAAAAGTAATATACATATGTACATGTACAATAATATACTTCACTCTAGAATTTGTAGTATTATTTTTTTATTTTAAAAGTTTGGTGGGTATTCAATTAGCTAGGATTTCAGAGAATCATATACAAGTAAAATCTAAAAATATTCAATTTAGATTTTAAAGAATTATTTAAAATCTCAAAGTATTCAATTGGGATTTCAATTGAATTTACTTTTTAAAACTATTTTTAATATCAAAAGTACTACCTCCGTCTTTGAGTATTTTGTCCAACTTTGATTTTTTATAGTCAACCATTCTCAATATTTGACATGTAATTAAATAAAATATATTTGGTGTATTTATTAAATAAAATAATATTTTAAAAATATTTTATAAAATAAATCCAATAAAATTATTTTGTATCAATATCTCATATTATTTTTATTTAATTAATGATCAAATAGAAAGATGACGGAAAGAAAAAGAAGAAGAAGAATAAAGAGAAAAAGAAAAAGAAAACAAAATCCGGAAGTTGCTGCAAAGAAAGAAAAAAACGGAGAAACTTAAGAGAGAAGAAGAAAAGGAATGGTTGTGGCAAGGGTAGAAGAAAAAAGAAAAAAAAATATGAAGGGGATAAGGGTACATAAGTCCTTTTAACAAAGAAAAGTTGCCAAAAAAGGAAATATAAACTTTATTTGTGGACGGACCGAAAAGGAAAATGAGAACTTTATATCTGAACGGAGGGAATATCATTATTTAAATAAATATATCAACAGATATATACATATACGTATTCAGAACAACGAGACGAAATGAGAAAATATTTATGTGTCCCAATCCTGTCCTATTTTTAAAACAGTTCAGAACAAGTTCATGACAAAATTTTGTCATCCCTAATAAAATAAATCTTATAAAGACGGAACCAAGATATTTCGGATCGGGACATTGGCTTCGAGACTTCGAATTTTTGCCCACCCCTGATCAAGACAACAAATTCGGGAGGGGAGGGAGTAATACATTGGGATGGCTGTACTTTTCGTTTTGTTAGGTGAAATTCAAGGTATGAATACTTCTTGAGCGCTATTTGAATCGAGAAATGCTAGTCACAAACACTTCAGTCACAAAATACACAACCTTGCCATTTGTGCACATCATTAAATGAATAAAATGATGTTGAATAATTAAAAAATAAACATTTAAATACACAAATGGTAAGCTTGTGTATTTTGTGACCAAAATGTTTGTGACTCTAGCATTTCTCATTTGAATCATTTTTGTAGTGTTATGTTTGACTGTTTTTTAAACGGTTGATAACACATTTTTGGCATGTTTAAACCATTTTGCACGATTCATTTTACGTGCCTAAAAGACAGAACAAATTTCATATGTAAATTTATGAAATGAGTATTTTGTTATTCATAAAAATATACTCTTCAATCTTAAAATTAACTTATCACATTGACTTTTTTGGTTTTTTAAAACTTCGACAGCATGTTAGGAAAAAAATACATTAAATTTTTATATAAATTTAATATCAATATATACATTTTGAAACATAATTTTGAAACATTTTATTATTATAATATATAATTATATATAAGTAGAAATATTAATGATTAAAGCATTATATTGTAAACTATAAAAAATAAAATGAAATGTTAATTTTAGGACGAATGAAGTATTCTATAAAAATGTAATTAATGAGTATCATGTACTCCCACCGTTGATCTAAAGAAAGACAATAACTTCAAATTTAGGTCTCAATATTGAGTTTCCAATGCCAAAGTTGTCATTAGGTAGGAAAAATAATTAATCAGACATTTGCTAATAAAAAAAATCAATGTTCTAGCTAATCAAGTAAAATGCACATCACATACATGAAAATGAAATGGATTACAACAATTTGTAAATAATACTCCGTAGAGTGCTAGCTGAGTCATTTGAAATTGCCCAATCAAGCCAACCAAGCCTAATGGGGTCCATTGCATTTTCATTAGCAATCAATAGAAGAAATTAAAAGAACATCCATAAAACCTCCTTGCATATAAATATTAAAATGAGTATCATGACGCAAAATGTATACATACAGTAAGTGCATTATAACACCGGCTTAGGCTCTCTTCTTTTACGTTGGAATTTTAGAGCTGGATGTTAGAAGAAACTGGAAAAAATTGGAGAGAAAGTTGGAAAAAGTTAAAAAATACGGAGTATTAAAAGAATTTAAGTGTTAAAAAGTTACTCAATTAAATGATCACATTAATGATTAATACATATGTAAGAAACTCTAATTTTAGATAAAAATGTTTTTATCATTGTTTGTATTTGATGTGATATGTTATAAATTTGGATACAAAATCTTCTTTGGTATCTGTTCAAGAGTCCCATGCATAGTTTTAAAAACCGGACCGAATCGGCCGGTTTGGACTGTGAACCGGTGAACCGGTGGTCCAACCGGTCCGGTCCGGCCCATTGGACCATAATGAGCTTTGAACCGGTCCGAACTGGTTTAAACGGGTAAGAATCGGCTTGTCAGACCGGTCCAACCAGTTTTTTTTTTTGCAATTTTTTTCCAAAACTTCACTCTTTTGAGGTTTGAACCCAAGACCTCTTAGCTATTTGGTTAAGTTCCTAACCATCCCACTAACGATGTTTGTTGTTTCAAATTCGTATAATTTTTTTATAATATTTCATAATTAATAAAAAGATTGCATAAAAATTCGTTTTCAGTTTTAAAAATATAATACGTTGTATTATATAGCTATGAGTCAAACACAAAATCATTGATATTTTTTTAATAAAATTTTAATATTATTTTTAATATGTAAATTTTACGGAGTATTTTTTAATTTAGTAAAATACCTCAAGTATGTTAATACGGAGTATAATTTTAGTCAAATATTATAAATTACTTTCTTTATGTATTTATATATGGAGTATTAGAATGTGTCTGTCTATATATATGTGTGTGTGGTGTGTGTGTGTGTGTGTATGTATATATATGTTATAAATTTTAAATATGTTTAAACCACCGGTTCGACCAGTTGAACCACTGGTTCAACCAGTGAACCAGTCAGTACCTTGACCGGTTCAGTTCCCGGTCCGGTTCTCAAAACTATGGTCCCATGCAAGTGTTACTAAGTTCACTTTAGATGCTGCAGCTAGAAATAGTGAGCATATACAGTAACTAGATAAAGCATCCCCTAGTTTAAAATTCATGTGTTATAGTGAAAATCTAATCTCTCAGTTTTAAAAAACTCCAGTTACAAGATATAAAAACAAGTAACTTTTTAGTAGAAGGCACATAACAAACATACTCCCTGTCTCCAATTTTTTGTGCCTGCATTGACCGGACATAGAGATTAAGAAGGTAAAAACTGTGTCATTGAAATTTATGCTTAGGAGAGAGACAATAGGAAATTAGGAACCAGATAATTACCTTGTTTGGGAATACCATTTTCGATTAGCGTTACCGTTTTGGATAAAATTTTAATGATGTCAATCAATTCTGAAAACGCCAACCGTTAGATAGCCTTTTCAAAATGCTAATGCTAACATCTAACAGTGATGCCAAATGGGGCCAATGTTTTCTGCAAATGGATAAATGGAAACAGATACAATAAATTGGGGCAGAAAAAAAAAGGAAAACAAGTAGCACAACAAAAAGAGCCAAAACATGCATGTACAAGTGTATAAAGGCATATACTTGCACCACATAAAGTCAACCACTGAACTATCTCAAACAAGAAACTAATAATCGAAATAAAACACATATTCCAACTTCTTCCTGGAAATAAGTCACATGATGTATTGCTGAACAGTGAACTAAAGGTTTTTCACTTGAGTAAAGAGGGAAAAAGATCGTTTGAGTGATGAAGCAGAAGGAGCTAGAGGAATTGGGTAGTATGATACTTATTTTTTCCTAGAAAAGAAATACAATAGCTCTTTGCTCACTAGTGGATTAAAAGCACGAAAATGAATGTTTGAGATGGTTAGTTTGTGGACAATCTAAGGGGGTGTTTGTTTTTCTGCCAGAAGACCTTCTGGCGTCTTTTGTCTGCGCCGCGCAGACGCGCGCAGACGATGGACTCTGCAGATTGTTTGTTTTTTTGGAAGACATTTCACTCAGAAAGGTCTTCCGGGCATCTTCTTGGAGAAGACATTAACCAATGTCTTCTAACATCTTCTAACATCTTCTCCTTTTTTTCTACTTCTCTTCACCACTACAACCGTCCACCGCCACCGTCCACCACTACCACCGTCACCGTCCATCACCATCGTCGTCCACCACCACCTCCGTCAACGTCCACCACCACCCTCCACCACCACCACAATCGTCCATACACCACCACCATACACTACCACCATTAATTTATATAGCAGTCTACAGACATTAAAAAAACAAACAGTCTTCTTCTTACAGACCGCAGACCTTCGGTCCACCACTTCTCCTGCAGATGTCTACAGTAGTGGTCCGCAGACCGCAGACCTTTTCCTGCAGAAAAAACAAACACCCCCTAAGTGTTTTATGTGTCATAAGTGAATTTACTATTAAGAGAAAGAGCAACATAATGGGGAAGGGGTTTACCCTATGTTGTTTATAGGGAGTATTCTTGATCATACTATCTTGTGTCTTAAATAATACGAAGTAATAGAGTTGTGGCTGTTGTTGTACTCGCAAAGGATTTCTGAATCACTTTTTTGCAACTTGTATACAATCATATCAATTAACTACACTCCATTTTAATTTTCACTATTGATAGTTTTGCGTCATTTACCCCTGAACCATTGATAAAGTGCATGGTTTTCCCCAAACTTTAAGAAATACACTAGTAGTCCCTATACTTTTAATAAAGTGGGTGCTTTATCATTAAAGTCTTCAAAAACTACAAACTGCATGTTTTTCCTTGAACATTCAAAATTGCATCTTTAGTCCTTATATTTTTCATAAATTACGTGTTTTGCCCCAAACTATCAAAAGAACATCATTAGTTCTACTCTCTCCGTTTCGAAAAATAGTTTCACTCAATTTTTATGTGCATCCCACAAAACACTTCTACCTCACTCAGTGGTGGAGCCACGTTGGGATAAGTAGGTGCAGTTGCACCCACTGAATATATCTCCCCTAATTCTCTAAGGGGCTATCTCTGTTAGCCAGTCTTTTTTCCGTTTAATTTAACGCTCCAGTGCCGTTTCTTTCAATTAGCAAGAACAAATAACGCTATTGGTCACTTAGCCGCCCACCGCCCCAGGACAATGTCTTCTTCACCGTTCACCGCCCCACTATCAACGACTACTCTCAATCGAGTTTGGTCAGATTCCTGCACCAAATCGAGTTTGCATTCGCCTCTTCTATCATCTTCCTCTAAATCGAGTTTGGTCAAATTCCTTCGCCAACCGCTAGGTAAACATTCCTTTGGTTTTCCAGTTTTTGCTGCATAATTTTCGGTAGGGATAGCTCAGTCCAGAGGTTATCCTACTGAGTATGAGGTTTTTTTGAGTAGCTAAGCAATCCTTACCTGGTTATCCCATAGTATGATAATTATGCGCTAACCAAAGGTATGTACTTTCTTTTCTGCGCAGCTCTCCACTTTCTTGATTTAGAGTAATTTTCTATTTATTCATTAATTAATTTTTTTTTATTACCCTCTGTGACCATTACGTGATTTGAATCTGTGATTGGAAACGAGAATGAATGAAATTATGTTCAAAGAATAGCTTTGTTCACTTCTAATTACAATTCTTCACTTTTACTACATATCTGAATCATTTAGGCCTCGTTTGGTGCATGGAATTCAAACTATGGAATTAGAATTGAGGACATCAATTCTAATTTTGGTGTTTGGTAGCACAAAAATTATGTGGATTTGGAATTGATAGTGCAAAAAATGAATTGGAATTGGAATTCCAATTCAATTCCAATCCTGTCAATTCCGTATACAAAACAGATCCTTAAATTAATTTAAATTAATTCTGTATATTTGGATTATGATATTACTCCAGTCATGATTAAGCTTGTGTTCTATCACTAGGCCCATCATACTTACCACTTACTACCTCCGTCCCAGAATATTTGTCCACTTTCATTTTTACACATCATCTAATACACTTCTTTAATTTATTTTATCTTGTAATTTGTATATTAAAAAAATTATAGAAATTATATATTAATAATCTATAAGTTAAGACAAATCAAACAAGATCACACATGACTATATTTAGGCTTACACATTAAGAGAATTTGATGAGTCAAAGTGCTTAGATGAACAGTTCCAAAAGTCAAAAGTGGACGAATACTCCAGGACGGAGGAAGTACTACTTATCTGGATCTTTTAGGAACACTTTCTGCAACCTTCTTATGAAGGACTAATATTAGAAACTGACTTTGAATTATCAAAGAGATAAAATCAGTTTTTTAGACAATGATTTGAATTACTTGACCGGTTGAGTTAAATCTTTTAGTAAAGCTTGGTTTGTACAAATATGTCTAAGACCACCAATGAGTTGATTCAACAGCTAAGGGAAACACATGACAAGATAAATGCATTTTCTTAACTTGAATAGCTTACTACCTCAACAAGCTATTGTACATATTTCACCATAGCGGCGGATTTGTCAACGGCTACACAACATATATCACTGGCCTGCAAGGGACTTCAAAGGCTCACAATGCCCCTTTTTAATAAGTTAGTTGGGACTTGCCTGCATCTCCCCATTCAATAGGCTAAGAAGCTAGCACCTTGCCGGTCTTTGCATGTGACGCCGGCACCGGTGCCCCTTCCTCTGGACGTACTACCGTTTTAGGGGCTGTTTGGCAGCTTCTGAATAGGTAAGTGCTGAACCAGTAAGAGGTGGTCTGAACCATTAAGTGCTGAACAAGTAAGGGGTCTGAACCATTAAGAGCTAGTATATTGCTTAACTATTCAGAGGCAAATGTCTGATCAATTCAGATAAGAAGTCTTAACCATTCAGGCTCTGTATAATACTTAACCATTCAGAGGCAAATGTCTGAACCATTCAAACATCTCAACCATTAAGAGGCTGAAACAAACAATTTGAACCATTAAGTGCTAAACCATTCAGACATCTGAACCATTAAGAGGATGAAACAAACAGCCCTTTAGACTTATTTGGGCTAAGCAAGTTTATACGCCTTCGCAGCCCCTACTTCAATTAAGGCAAGTTTTCCTTGTTCAATTATACAATCAAAACATAGGTATTGAAGAGGTAAGATGAGAAAAAAAGGACTAAATATTAAGCCAACGCACAGGAGGTCTTGATGGCTAAATTTGAAAAAAAAAATTGTGTGATGATTTGAAGTACGTGCTTAATCTAACTCAACTTTCTATGTATTGATATGGAGTAGGAAAGAATATGACCTTGTAGTGTTCAAAGAAGCTAAAAAATTGATGTGAAGAACATATAAATCTTCTACCTCACTACTTAAATTCAATCCACTTTACTCAACTTCTTTTACTTTATTTAGGTTTAATACTTAAATTCAAAATCTTCAAATAATGTCTAAAACATTTTAGTACAAGGAAGGTATATTGTTTTCATTTTAAATTGTCTAATCAGCGCATCTTCAAACTCATAATCTGTTTTAAAACCTGCCCCTTATGGTCCGGTTTCTTCTTTAAAATCAGCTTGAAGATCACATTTTTTTCAAAAATAAGTCACTAATATTTCACTTTTCCCCTGAAAATCAATGCAAACTCAGATTTCTTTTAAAAATAACCCCTACACGTTCTGTTTTGTCTTGGAAATTAACCTCAAAATCAGACCTATTTTTGAAAATCAGCCCTTAAAGTAACAAATTTCTCATGAAAGTCAGCCCTAAAAGTTTTGACACCAGCCCCTAAAACCTTTGTCTAAAAGTTTCACAGTGCCAATGAATCTGCCCGACTCGGGACTACTATCACTTCGGTAATGCTTAAATAGTGGTGCCAATGAACTACTTCTTGCTGCCCTTCGAACACAGTGTATTAATGTACCGAAAGTCACTGTCCCTACCAAGTAGTCTAAAGTAAGTAAATAAGTAAACGGTTCCATCTGAGGTAAACTTAGCTCCTTCATAGCTCTCTGTGACCGTACCAAAATGATCATTTCTTGATGAGCAGCAGGTGTTCGGGCTAATGATGAGCACAACTTCAACAGTTCTTTACTCAATTCGGTGGTTTATGGTAACTATCACTTTTGATACTCTTTTCCGTGTTACGCAGCCACATCAGTTCATTCCCCATATCTATTTATTCTATAACCATTCATTCGTTATCTTTGGCCTCTGCTATTTTGAAGCTATACAAGACTATAGAGCTGCAGCATAACCAAACGAGCAAAGAGCGAGTTTCTACGAGCTATCTAAGACCTTTAATGCCTTTACTACGTTAGGTACCTAAGAACATTGCTCATCTTAGACTTAATTACGTCAGTAACAGGAAGCGCTTTCATTAGGTAGGCTGACTTGTTTGTTCATTCATCAACTAAACTATACTAACGCTTATAGGTTAAATAGGCTCAATCAAATCCTTATCAGTCGAGTCACTTCATACCTCATTACTTCCTATTTAATGATATGATTCTCATCAATTGGTTAAAGCAAGCTAAGAAGGATTTCGCCCATTGTCCAAGATTCCCCACTGCTGCCCCCCGTGGGAGTTCGGGCCGTGTCTCAGTCCCAGTGTGACTGATCATCCCAAAAGACCACCTAAGCATCATTTGCTTGGTCACTCTTTACCTGACCAATTACCTAATACTACGCAGGCTCATCAAACAGCACTTTTTAGCCCAAATTGCAAACTGGATGGTGCTACACCAGACCAAAACTACTACGGAGAAAGGAAGATGCCAATCGGTTATCCAACCACCCCCGCATACATAATAACATAATAGTAATATAACATATACCTCTTCGATAGCTCGCTTCCTACCTCTAGCTGTTTTTCCTTGATAAAGGGAGAATATCAAATTATATCTCTAATAGAAATATATTAGACACTGGGCCAATATTTGTCTCCTATACGATGCACCTGTCTAAAGCTTATATCAACCTGCTTATATATATGAAGCCTGAATTTAACACAATTCATATCATCATTATACCTGAAATTAACAGAATTCAGATCATCATATTGTACCCTGAACCAAGCAGTGGTTTATACTTTCCTTTTAGTCTCGACTTTAGACATTATATTTTTCGCTATATTTTTTCACGAATCACCTACAATACCAGTGAAAAAAATTTTAAAAAAAATCCTCAATGAAGTTGAGGTCACATCTGGAAATATACACATTGGACTCGTTTGACCCGCTATCCTCATTCAGATATGTACTATTTGTAATGGATAGAGAGATTGAACATGTAGAGAGAAGGAACATGTGTAACAATCACTTCATATTATATTGTTTTGAATTATTTACATATTTATGTCCAAAACATACACTGTAAAACTGTGAATAATAATCTGTGGTTTTCCTAACTGAATTCTACAAAAGACCTGCTCAGTCATTTGGTGCAATAGGAACACTCAGATAGCTGAGTATTTTCAATCATGTTTATTCCTTTTAGCTTTTCATAATTACTTCCATAGTGGGCCGTGTGCGCCTGTTTAACTATCTCATGAGCCATGATGTTTCCTTGCTTCATTACTGTCACTTAACCTCAACGACCCATCGTGCAGATGCAAACCTATCACTTTGACAATGTGGGACAACTTCGCATCCGTGCAAAGCTTGGAAATCGAAAAGGCACTCCAATCTGGCATGACGAAGTGGTTGACCCCTACCACTTCTCTAAAATATAACTACCCCAATAAGGTAGGAGAACTTATGAATTATGTAGTGTATACCTAACTACCCCTCCTCTTAAAATCTTAGTTCACTCTTTGCAAAAACACCCACCTAAAAACTAGAAAATAAGTTCCAATTTTGTCACTTCCCTTAAAACACTATGTCATATGTAACAGCCAGTATAAGCATCACTCCTTTTGTATACTACCTTCGTCCCATTGTCTTTGTCCACATTTGACTTTTGAAACTGTTCATCTAAGCACTTTGACTCATCAAATTCTCTTAATGTGTAAGCCTAAAAATAGTCATGTGTGATCTTGTTTGATTCGTCTTAACATATAGATTATTAATATATAATTTTTATAATTTTTTAATATACAAATTACAAGATAAAAAGGATTAAAGAAGTGCATTGGATGGTGTGCCAAAAGGTAAGTGGACAAACACAGTGGGACGGAGGGAGTAATATTTTATATATTTCTAGTACACTCATTATCTACATCTCATTAATAACTTCCAAAGGTATGGCCACACACAAATATACAAGGTATAGAACACACACTTTTAGGCTATGCCTCTGTTCATTATTATTGTTTTAAAACCTGATTTCAATTCAATTCTTTCCTTCTACAGGATCAAAATACTCTTCAAATTTTAATTCTCTTTTTAAAGTTGAAATGCAAATGTCTTGTTATATACTAGGTAGCACATGATTTTGTCCTAAATCTTTCCTAGGGAAATTATATATAAGTGTTATACTGTTAGAACTTATTATGGACGAATACTTTTGGCCATATTTCATTCTTTTATCTTTCTTTAAAGACTAATTTGGAAAACTCAAATAGGCACACTGAAATTACTACTATTCATGCTTCACAAATACTGCTAAGTGTGGCTTTTGATGAAATGACTTCTAAATCTACAATAGAATGTAGTAAAATATTTATTTGATGAAGAATGTGAGTCATTACTCTTCAAAACTTTGGGCACACACACACGAAGTGTGTCCCATGCTAGTGTATTAATATGCCAGTAAAATTTTGCAAGATAGTTGGCAAGAGAGGTGAGGTGGTATACTGCAAGTCGAGTTCGTTCCTCATTACTAGCAAAAGGATCCTTTTTTAGTTCCTTGTTTACTCTATATTCATTCATTGCATATTTTTTTTATTTTTTACTCTTAAGTGATCCCACACCACAAGATCCCTGGCTCCGCCACAGATCCCACCTAAGATTATCGTGAATACACCTCATTTCTCCTTTGTTGCGGGTAGGTATTGTTTTGGGAATATATTAGACATTTTAGGTTGGGTAGAAGTGTTCTATGGGATGCACAAAAAATTAGAAGGGAACTGTTTTTCAAAAAAGAGGGGGTATTATTTTTGTTCTTTTTATTCAAATTCAGTTAAGGAAGGACGTTGTTTAATCGAGAAAATTTCTTAGGTTTCAACCATACATTACTTTAAAAAATATAAGAGTAATGGTACAATTTTGAAAGTTTGAGGAGAAATCACGCACTTTATAAAAAAAATATGAGTAATGGTGCACTTTTGAAAGTTCAAGGGAAAAACATGCACTTTTTAAAGAGTTCGTATGTAAAGCACGCACTTTATTAAACGTAGAGTGACTAATGGACATTTTTAAAAGTTTGAGGGAAAACATGCACTCTATGAAAAAGTTAGAATCGGTTGAGTATGCAGCTGAAAATATTATTGGAAAACTAAATTAGAATTCAAGAAATCAACTAAGTTCAATACGAAATTGCCACTCATGGTAGTATAGTCTCATAGTCTCCACTCTCCAATTCATCTGGTATTTACGGAGTACCATTTAACTTTATCCGAAACTATAATGGAGAGCAAGTAAACACAAGTTTTTTTTTAATGAAGGCATCAATCCAGCTAAGGAAGTTAAACAAAATAACAGACTTTGAAATTAAGTTTACTCCAAAATTTCATTTTGACATCATATCAAGCAGCTTGGGGGCAAATTGATACTGCTAATTTGAAAAGGTACCAATACCAGGCCTATCATTATCTGTACCAATTGAGACGCACGGTAAATAAAATTCTGGAGATGAATTCGAAAGGCAATGCATCAATCCTCTAATAATTCCTCCTAGCATTTGAACAAAAAGGTAAACAAAAATGAAATTAAAACTTGATTTCTTACCTGGTTCTTATCCGGAATTGAAGGGCGACTGAATTGAAACGCAGAGTCGAACAGGTCTGCTGTGGAAAACGGACAGCGGAATATGCGAGGCACTGCGGCCATTTGCAGATAGGCGAAGTAGGGCTTTTTGAGTGAACAGCGGAAGAGTAAAAAGCTCAAATTAGGAGAAGAGTTATGGATGTTTATTGAGGAATTTATGTTACTCAAAGATAATTATTTTCTTTAGTACATATTTATTTTTTTTTAATGTAGGATTATTGGTTATTATTCATTAGTCATTATTCAAGTAAATGTTCACCATCAATTCACATTATTCTTCTTATTTCTATTTAGGAAATAAAAATTTTTAATTTCTACATTGGGAAATGACCTATGTTTTAGTTCTATTTAGTGCAAATTTCACATTTTTTATTCCCTTATTGTTTATAAATAATTTTTAATTTATAATTTGTTTTCAAATCAAATTTTCATTCGCGAAATTAAAATGACTTAAAGTATAAAAAAGTCATTTGAAATATTCATAAATACAAAAGGATAGTTTTCTAAAATGAAATTACTCTAAATAAGAGTAAAATTTTGAAAAAATATTTAAAATGTGAATTCCATGTTGTTATACTCAAAATAAGAATTTGCATTATGATAATGTAGCACTGTATATAAATATTTCACAAACTTTTTGTAATATATATGGTCATAATTGGTATGGCATATGTATTTTAATTCTTATTTTGAAAATAAAAATATAAAACTCTTATTTTGAGTTATTTTCAATATTTTACTCTTACTTTAGTCATTTTTCTCTTATATAATTAATCAGGTTAAAACAGAAAATTAAAAATCTGATTTAAAATGAGTAGGTAAGACCATATAAACACAAAAAATGCATTATCAGCTGACTTATAAGTTAAAAATTACCAATTTTAACTAGCTAATAAGTACACATAAACATCTCTAATGAGTTGAGAACTTGAGAAGTGGGCTTGGAAATTTTGGGGGAAAATGTGTATAGTACATTTAAATATAGAGAAATTTACTTGAATAAGACTAAAACATAATGACTTTCCCAATATATGATCATATGTTTTTATTTGCCAATGTAGGACTTTTGGTCATTAACAAGTAGTCATTATTCAAGTAAATGTCCATCATTACTGGACATTATTTTTCCCACTAGGTCATTATTAAGTCCTATTTAGAGAATAAAAAAATTTAAGTACTACATTGGAAAAGTCATTATGTTTTAGTTCTATTTGGTACAAATTTTATTTAAATATATAACAGGCGTATAATAATGTATTTTATAGAAATACGTAGTATACACATACAACAGCATAATACGTGTAGTATAGTAATGCAATAAACATCTTAACTTTATGATTGATGTTTGTTTCCTAGACAATCTTCCCTAATAAGGTATTTTCACGAATGAGTGCTCAATAAATAATATAACCTCCGTTCTTCTGTATTTGTCCATATTTAACTTTTAGAATTGTTTATCTAAGTACTTTGACTTATCAAATTCTCTCAATGTGTAAACCTAAATATAGTCATGTGTGATCTTGTTTGATTTGTCTTAACAAATAGATTATTAATATATAATTTTTATAAATTTTTAATATACAAATTAAAAGATAAAATGAATTAAAGAAGTGTATTGGATGATGTTTAAAAATGAAAGTGGACAAATACAGGGGAACGGAGAGAGTAATTAGCAATATGGTACACTATGTGATGGGTGTATTCCACCCACGACCGGTCAAAGGAGAAGACCAATTAGTTGACCGGTCAATCTCGAAAGTTTTGGAAGGGAAACTTAAATCGTCAGCAAATTGATATGTAATCGGCCCAAAGATGACCGGTATACTTCACGAAAAAGTATACCGGTCAAACTACTTTGTCACCCTATTTTTCCCTAACTTCGATGATTTCATCCCTCGGAGATTACCCGGTGTAGTTTCTAAGGTTGGAAAGTGTCGGCAGAAGAGAATCTAAGAGGGCTTGGCGTGTAGCGACCCATGTCAGTGAAGGACAATTGGAGATGCCAAAGGAATGTTTCCAGGCCAGAACGCGACAAGGGAAGTAATTCCCCTCACAAGGCGACAAGGCTGCTCGAGGACAAAACCAGTCACCTCGCACCACATCAGCAGCGTGCCCCCACGTGGGCGCACGTGGTCCTGTCCCCCTTAGCCTAGTATAAATACTCATGTAAACCTCAAAAAGGGGGATCTGAATTCATTCTCTCTAAACTCCCTTGTAAAAGCACCCGTGCATTCTCCGTTATAATATAAATTGGGCTACAGGTGTTCCACCTAAAGTCCTACCGGTCAATCTGCGTGTTTTTACCTTTCTTACTTTACCAAATCAAGCAAACTATTCTAGACCCGGTCTAGTATAATTTGACCGGTCAAGTAATTTACACCATCACTATGATTGATATTTGCTCCATTGATATTTGATAGTCTTCCATAAAAATGTCTATCAAATTGCCAATAAGGCCTTGTTTTTTCGTGTTGGAATTTCAGAGTTGCATGTTGGAAGAAATTAGAAGGAGTTGGAAAAAATGAAAGAATTGAAAAGTATTGAAAGCATTACAACGTTAAAAATTCGATCACTCAATTAAATTATCACTCAAATAAATATATAATAAAATTCTAATTTTGGATAGAAAAAAATTCATCCTTGTGCTTGTTTCGGGTGGTATATTGTAAATCTAGATATATTATATTATTGTATATTAATCATATACAAATAATTTTTTTAGTCAATAGAAAAATATGAAAGGAGTTGAAAGTTAATTTTTCCAACCAAAAAGAACATTACCTAAGTAGAGCGTATATTATTTTTTTCATCATCTAAAATATGAGCAAAATCTCAAAATGATCTTTTCTTATGAAGTATTTTTGCAAATTACCATCTAAGGTTATAATTATAATATTATATCAATTGTCGAAGGACTATAGAAGGGAAAAAATAACATTTATAAATTACCATGTAAATATATTGTTTATTGAGGATTATCGAAGAAAATTAACTCAATTATGAAGCACTATGTAAATAATTATAACTTATTAAAAACTGATTTGAGAAAATCTCTATTTCTAAATGATCATTTTGATAATTTACTCTATTAACTAACTAGGCTTGATGAAAAGGTTGTGCTTTCTCTCTCTAGCCATGTCACAACGATGAGGACGACCCTGGGACAAGACGACGCCGAACAAGACACCCGCAAGCGCTACGGCATTTACGGCTACGTCAGAGAATGGGAATAGAATCTTAAATCATACTTCCTACGTCTAAAATTAAATTGTATGTTTACTATTCATAAGGTAAAACTTTATAAATTTCGTTCTTTATTTCATGATCAGTCATTTCATTAAAAAAAAACAGGGAGCATGCTACATGTACTCCAAAATTTATACCCCATTTGTTGGCCAAATGTATGCACTAACATTCTGATTGTTCACATTGGCACAAAGTGTTGGTGCATAAACAAAAATTTTCACTTTTTTTAGTGTTGGTGCGTTAACAAAAATTAGCATTACACCAACATAGAATATCGGTGCATTCCTGCGATGTACAAAATGGGATACACATTCTTACGGTACAAATAACTTCACCCAAAAATAGTCATGTCACCACTAATTTTGTATATCTTTTGATTGGTATTTTAATATATAATTTTATTTTTTAATTCTATAGTATTTTTCATAAAAAAATGATTAAAAAATAATTTTAATCAAACATCATAAATTGAAACAGACTATATATACATTGACACAGAGGGAGTAATGTCTAAATAGACGAGATGTACTCTATAAATATAATCTTAAATTTTAAGAACCATTAATCTATTTCAGATAATATAAGATCTAAGAATTTTTATGAAAAATTGCAAGACTGCAAAATATATTTTAAAAAATACGATATTCACATATTCTTATATACTCCCTCCGTTCCACAAAACCCTTTCACTTTTAACTTTGGGCAAAAATAAAGAAAGTGTAATTTTGGTTAATTTTCTAAATTTGTTCTTGATGTGATGGGTAAAAGTAAGATGTGATAGTTTGGTTATTAGTGAAAAAGTATGATGTGATTTGTAGGGTATGAAAAAGTAAGGGTAAAAGTGATTTTTTAATAGAAAGTGGAAGTGTTTTATGGTATGTTTGGGAACATTGATTTAAATTGGATTTGACTCAAATTTCATGTTTGGGAAACTTAAAAGTTTTGAAATTGGATTTGAGTCAAATTTTTCTCATTAGTAACAAGCTTAATTTGAAATCCATGCACTATCCATTGTCATTTGAAATTCAAGACATCAAATTTTATGAATTGAAATGCATTAATCGAAATAAAACGCTAGTTGCCAAACACTACCTTAGAAAATTAAAAAAACGAAAGGGGAAGAGTTTATGGAACGGATGCATTTGTAACCCCCCGGCCCCCACCCTAGCCGTAAGTGTCCGCTCATAGGATTGTAGACTAACCCCACAAACCAACACAAGTCTTTCGCACACTTTGTCCTCACTCGTGCGCGTCCAAGGAAAACTTCCCAGGGAGTCACCCATCCTAAAAATGCTCCAGGTCAAGCACGCTTAACTATGGAGTTTCTAGGTGATGATGAAAAGAAGATGCACCTTGTTGGTATGAGTAGTACTATCAAACCTTTTGAGCTCTTCTCATTCTCATCTTGATACGGGGGATTACATTCACCCCCACTTAGGAATGCAACGTCCTCATTGCACCTTTTTTTTCAAACCCTTAAATCTTTCCCGCTAGGTGAACTAAGCTCGTTGGCCCGTCACGGTCGGAGGGTTGCTCTAGTAAAAAGAATTGAAGATATTCCGGACAAATAAGTTTTTTTGCCAGGCAGGTATGTACACGCAATGGCGGAAGAGATAAGGACACCACGAGGGTGGTCTAACCCACGAACCCCACTCGCTACCAGCACGCCCCTCTCAATTTCACGTCGGGCCCTCATTTCCTTGCTTTTCACCGGTCAAAACCGGCGAAACGCGTTGAACTTGGACACTCTCCGGCACACTGTTTTCCATTTCCATACACCCTCCAACTTGCCTTTACCCAAAATAAAGCCTTAAAATCTTCTTTTCCCTGAATAAATCATATCCCCTCCTTCCAAGCGACTTCCATATATAGTTCTCATCCCCTTCATATATAAGAGCACCCCACTCAAGAGTCCTTTCCACATTAGATCTCTCTCTTGATTTTCGTATGTTCTTTTAATTTTAATGGGTATTCGGGAAGAAGACAGTGTTTTGGCCGGAGATGGGATTCAGATTCGGGAAGTTTGGGCGGAGAACCTCGAATCCGAATTCGATCTCATCGGACGAATCGTCGATAGCTACCCGTATGTATCCATGGACACCGAGTTTCCCGGGGTTGTGTTTAAGCCTGAGAATCTGCCGTCGCGTCGCCGGCGTGGACTTCCGTCGGATTCCGATCGGTGTGCAGATCAGTACCGGTTACTGAAGTACAACGTGGACGCGCTGAATCTCATCCAGCTCGGGCTGACTCTTTCAGACGCCGGCGGGAACCTCCCGGTGCTCGGATCCGGTGGTCAGCGGTGCATCTGGCAGTTCAATTTCTGTGATTTCGACGTGGGGCGTGACGTACACGCTCCGGACTCTGTCGAGCTGCTCCGCCGTCAGGGGATCGACTTCGAGATGAACCGGGACCGCGGGGTTGACTCGGCCCGGTTCGCCGAGCTGATGATGTCGTCCGGCCTGGTCTGCAACGAGTCGGTCAGCTGGGTGACTTTCCACAGCGCGTACGACTTCGGGTACCTGCTGAAGATCCTCACGCGCCGCTCCTTGCCGGCCGGCCTTGAGGACTTCTTGAGTGCTCTGAGAATATTCTTCGGCAGTATGGTTTATGACGTCAAGCATCTCATGAAGTTCTGCCAGAGCCTACACGGCGGTCTAGACCGGTTGGCCAGAATACTGGAGGTGGACCGGGCCGTCGGGAAGTGTCATCAGGCCGGTTCTGATAGCCTGCTGACGTGGCACGCGTTCCAGAGGATGAGGGATTTGTACTTTGTAAATGAAGGACCGGAAAAACATGCCGGAGTGTTGTACGGACTAGAGGTTTTTTAGGCCGAGAATTTATTTTAATTTTCTCTAGTAAATAAAATAAAATTAATTTAATTATTTTTTATTTCGTAATTACTTAGTGTAATTAGGGAGTGTTTGGCCTGATGTAGAATACAATTGTGATTCGTTACGTGTTTATGACTTTATGCCAGCGTTTGTCAAAGCCAATCTGTGTGGCTTTATTTATTCCTTACATGAGAATCTAATACTGCTATTTTAATGAATTAAATCACTTCTTGCACCAAAAATTATAGGGAGATGCTAGGGGTACACTTTTTACACCAAAGGTGTACCCAAATGTACACTACATGCCTCTACACCATTCATTTTATTTTGTTTTTATTTTTTATTTTTTATTTTTTGAATTTTTATGCTTTTTTGTGGTTATGGAGGGGTGGAGGATATTTGGGGTACACTTTTGGTGTACTTCTAGCATTTTCCAAAATTATATTCTAATTTATGCGTCATAGGTGTTCACTTTCGTTTTGTACCAGTGTGATGATAGTGTAGTTTTACTTTGACATAAAGTATCAATGAAAATTCTTTTGATTGTACTAACATTTTCTTCCACTTTGAATATCAAAACATGCATGCCTTTGTGTATAATTTTGATACACTCCTTGTATACCTCTAATAAGAGACATAATATTCTTGGAAGTTTTGTGGAGTCGCCTTCTTTGAATATCTAGAAGACCGCCTCTCGTCGAAAGCTAAGTCTAGGACAACTAGTCTTAGGCATTCTCTTCGTTCGAAAATGTTCTTCACATTTGACTTTTCCGATCTTCAAAATTACACTTTGGCTATTAATATCAGTATTTATAACTTTCCCTCTTTGTATTAACAAGAGGGTACACACAAAAATATCCCTCTTTGTATTAATGTGTGTGTCTATGTATAGAGATATTTAGCGAAGACCAATTCCAGCGACTTAATCAATGCATCTCCTTCGACGTTCATCCATAATTTTCACCGAAATCAAAAGTAGACGTACCACTCCCGATAGCCAGTACTTGGTTACTGCCGCATGGTACCAAGCTACCATCATTCGGTAGTGACGTATATTGTCTGAGTATCAATTCACCAAAGTTTAGATTCTATGTGCTTAATATACTTTTGGAAAGATCTTGTAATAAGACCTTACTATTTCGGGAAACCTCCACACTGATAGTGTCCAAAATCGACCAAAGTACCTTTAATAATTCAAAATAGCTCTAATTACATTGTCCGGGTTCACAATTTACCAAAATTTAGATCCTATGTGCTTAATGTGCTTTTGTAAAAATCTTGTAATAAGATCATACTGTGCTTGGTAACCTCCACATTGACAGTGTCCAAAATAAACCCAAGCAACTTCAATAGTTCGAAATATAACTCTAAAAGGTCATACATTTTCTGATGTCTCAATTAACCATAGTTTGGGTCCTATGTGCTTAATGCATTTTTGTAAAGACCTTGTAATAAGACTATACTATGTTAGGAATCCTCCACATTGACAATGTCCTGATTCCTGAATCAACCAAAGAATCTTCAATAGTTCCAAATATACCTCTTAAAAGGCCATACATTTTCTGGGGTCTTGCTTAATTGACCATACTTTGGATCCTAAGTGATTAACGTACTTTTGTGAAGATCTTGTAATAAGATCATACTATGCATTGAAACCTTGATATTGACAGTGTCCAAAATTACTCAAAGCACCTTCAATAATTCCAAATAGCTCTAAAAAGACAATACATTTTCGGGGGTCTCAATTCACTAAAGTTTAGATCTTTTGTGCTTAACGTACTTTTGTGAAGATCTTGTAATAAGAGCATACTATGCCTGGAAGCCTTCACATTGATAGTGTCTAAAATTGACCAATGTACCTTTAATAGTTCCAAATAGCTCTTCAAAAGACTATACATTTTCTGGGATCTCAACTTATTGAAGTTTAGATCTTTTGTGTTTAACATATTTTTGTGAAGATTTTGTAATAAGATTATACTATGCCTAGAGAGCACATCGACATGTCCATTTTTTAATTGTAGATGAATGTCATAATGGAGGCCATGAGATGCTGAGCGAATGGGGATGTTAACCCAAATACTCCCTCCGTCCATGTAAGATCTTCCCATTACGCGTTACGAGACTTGACCGACTTTATTTTTAATTCAATTTAATTGATTATAGGAGTAAAATTTTAAAATAAAATTTATATAGTAATAAATTACATGAAAAGTTCTACAAAACTAGAGACGACAAGACTATATTATTTTATGAAATGACTAGTAAAAATGAGCAAACAAAGTGAGTAAAGTTTGACCCCGTAAATAGTGTCTGGGAAAATCTATGGTGGACAGAGGGAGTATATAAAAGGATGGACTTAATGAGGTAAGTTGTACTATTTTTATACCTTTTGAATTGTTGTATTTGATGCATGACGGTAAAAGTAGTAGACCTAGTGATTATTATTCACATAATCAAACATTATTAATTTTTTAGTACTTATTTTCACTACTTTTTAAAATAATATATATAGTGACTTAGTTTCACCTCTTGTTCTATAGAATTATTGATATATTTTTTAAATATATAAATTTTACTTCCTCCGTCCCAAAAAGATTTACACCTTTCAAAAAAATTGCGTCCCATAATCTCCTACGCATTTCTATTAAAAAACCACTTTTACCTCTTACTTTTTCAAACCCTACCTATCACATCATACTTTTTTCCTAATAATCTACACATCACATCAAGGGTATTTTTGGAAAATCAACACAAAATTATCCATTGCTTAATTTCAACTTTAGTCAAAACGTGTAAATTTTTTTGGGACGGAGGTAGTATTATTTAATTTTATCCCAATTCTCAAATAACTTTATTCAACAAATACTTTAAATTTAAAAAATGAAATTATTACATGTATCTAAGTTCTATAGTGAACCTTTATATATGCTAAATAAGTATTTTTAAATATTGAAATAAAGATTTTTAAAATTAAAAAGTATGTGAGAATGTCCGCCATGTGGACATTAGGTCCACCATATATTAATCACTCTCAACAAACAACTTTAATTAAAAAAGCATCATTCAAACATGATAAACTAAATTAAAGCAGCGTTCTGTTCGCTTGATCTGATCCAATTTTTTGAAAATCTGATTGATCTAGTCTGATTTGATCTAATTACAGTTATAATTAAAACTATTTCTAATATGATCTAATTAAGTAGAGTAATAAACAGAAAAAATAAATTGAATGAAACAGTCCTCTCTAGTTAATTTTGGGAGGGAGGAGTGAGTATATTGAAATTATATACACATCAAACTCTATGACTAGATATGTTAATCACATCACATCTTAATTTAATCTCTTGTCATCGTCGCCCGGAAGCAAAGAGCTAGAGTTGCGAAGGCGCGGCGAATCTTCCGGCGGAGAGGGCGATGAAACACAGCCTTGGGGATCCCACGGATCCAGCACGTCCAGCACCTTCCGTACGGCGGCCGCTTATGGGGAGCGATGCGGAGGAGAGGCCTCCGGACGGCGAGTCGGACGGAGGAACACCACCTGCACATCAAGGCCGGTGGCAACACGTCTTCCAATGAAGTGTACTCGTGAGGAGGCGGAGGAGGAGGAGCAGCCGGCAGCGGTGAAGAGGAAGAAGAAAAGGCACACCCCACGTGGCGGCGGCTAGGGCTACTCTCCCTCCTACTCTCGGTCGTCGGCATTTTTTTTTTGTTTTGTTATTTCTTCGCTGCTTGCCGGCGGCGGGAAAAGTGGGCAGGTCGTCGCTAAATAGGGTTTTAATTTGTAATAATGCATGAATGAATTGTATTGGTGTTAGTTGGCTTTGCAGTGGCATTAGAAGTCTATCTTATCAATCATCAGTCTAAAGCTATTTTGTATTGGGATTCCTAATCGTCCTAGATGTATATATATACCTTCTCATTATATCCTTCATATCATGGGTTCGTACTTTCTTCACATCCTCAACCTGAATATACTTGGTAATTAACTACTCCCTCCGTTCCACAAAACTCTTCCTCTTTCGTTTTTTTTGAATTCTCTAAAGCGGTTTTTTGCTGAGACAAAGTGTTATACTTTCCTTATTTGTTAATAAAACGTATAATAACAAAGTGTTACACTTTCCTTATTTTTGCCAAAAGTCAAAAGTGGAAGGGTTTAAAGGAACGGAGGGAGTAGCTAATAACTAGCTCGGTCGGAATAGCCTCTCTAATTAAATTAAGGGGCTGTTTGGCAACTTCTGAATAAGTAAGTGCTGAACCAGTAAGAGGTCTGAATCATTAAGTGCTGAACCAGTAAGAGGTCTGAACCATTAAGAGCTAGTATATTGCTTAACCATTCCGAGGCAAATGTCAAACAACCCCTAAGTCTTATATATATTGGGTCTAAAAAGTGGTGTCAACAGTTATGTTATGTTGACCAAAAATGGTCAAGTTTTTGTAATACTTCCACCATCCTAATTTAAAATGTTTGTTTTAGTTTATGATGCTGACATGCATTATTTTTAAAATAATTTATTTGAGATTTTGGATGAAATAAAAAAATAAAACTAACATACGGAGTATTTAAAAACAACATTAAAAGTTGTATAAAACGAGCTGAAAAGTGACATAACTATGTTATTTTATCAATTTACCTAACAAAAATAGGGAGAAAAGAAATAAACGTTTGACCACATAAATAGTATGTTGACAAACAATTTGATTTGGGAGAGAGAGTGTACTTCTTTATTATTATGACCATTATATTCATTCCTTTCGATAACTTTTTTTTGTTTACATGTTTTCATTGATCATTTAATAAAATAAAATATTCTTGTCATGTCTTATTTTGTAAAAATTTTGACTTAGTTGGTTTGATTATACGTTTTCATTTGTTATTTTTAGTAAGTTTAAGTTATATCTATTGTTGAGACCAGACATTAACATACTTAAACTTAATGATATACTCGTATTTTTATAGTAGTTTATTGCCTCGAAGTAAAACTCAAAGTATAATTTGGAATGCACCCCATCAATAAACACCAGTCAGTGGTTGTGGGTGACATGTTTGGATAACGCAATGGAGGCTCATCTGCACCTTCTTCCTTCTCACCCCCACTACACTAAATCTGCCCTCTTCTCTCCCGGGGCTTCCCTGAATAACGCAAAGCCAAACAGGGCGCTAAATTCATCTGCGAATTCCAAGCCTACTAAGCTGACAGTGAGGGCAGTGAAGGAGAAAACAGAAGAAATCAACAAGTCCCAGACGTCTGCGGAAGAAATTGCCAAGAAATTTGGTCTTGAAGCTGGTCTCTGGAAGGTAAAGATCCAATCTTTTTGATAACCCTTTTCTGGAAATCTTTGGGATGATTCTATGTTCTTCCATTGATCATCATTCAAGAAAGGCGATTTTGAAATTTTCTGATCCTTATTTGAAAAAAATGTCATATTTTTTCTGATGAGTTATACCTAGGGCTTGTTTTGTGGATTCTGGTCTCCAAAATTAGTTGATTATTATAGAGAATCAAATACTTGATTACTTCTTAAAACCATACTTTGGTGAGCAGTACCAACTATTGATTCTAATTAAAATCTGAAATTAATGTTAAAAAATTTGGATAATTGTGCATTTGAGGTGTCATACTTGGACTTATTTATCGATGGAGTCCAATGACCATAATTTTTTAATAAAATGCACGCGTGTGTTCTTATAAGTGAGACCAACACTTTGATATGTTCTTATATGTTGCCACATATGAATAATGGTTGGGTTTGTGCTGATTAAGAAGCAATTGAAAGAAGTTAAACGAAATGAGCCCTAAGAGTGTTTCTTTGGGATTCTTTAAGTTCAATGAAGATAAAGGTACAACTTCCAGGGCATTTAAGTTAAGTTGCATTCAATAAGTTTGGGTTGAAAAGAACAAGCTCCAAGTTACCAAACATTGTTTTTTTAAAAATACCGCGAAATGCTTATCAAACTACTAACAGTTATTGATAACTGGTAAACTGTTGTTTGCTAAACATACCCATATTAATGTAATCAAACCACTATATATAGATATTCAGTTCAAAGGGGGATGAAGAAAAGCAAGGGAAGTCAAAAGGAGAAGAAGCCAAGGAGCTATTGGCCAAATATGGAGGAGCATACCTGGCCACATCCATCACTCTCTCCTTGATTTCCTTTGGTCTCTGTTATGCACTTATCACTGCTGGAGTTGATGTCCAAACTTTGCTACACAAGGCGAGTTTTGCCTCTATTAATCTATACACGTTTTTCATGTTTTTTTTCAAATCTGTTGATTAAGAATGTGTGTTTGCAGGTTGGGATTTCGACTAACGAGACAGGGGAGAAGGTGGGGACGTTCGCCCTAGCTTATGCGGCCCACAAGGCCGCATCCCCCATACGTTTTCCGCCTACGGTTGCTCTTACCCCCATTGTTGCTGGCTGGATAGGAAGAGGAAAGAAAGCTGATAAATAGCATAAGTGTTCTTTCCCCATTATACCCCCCTTCTTTCATATTGTAACATATATATGTTTGTCACATAACTAACCTATATCAATTATCAATCTCCTTTGTTGCTACATACATATTTGCAATTCATCTTTGTCTATCATCCCCCAATGAAACCCCAGAAACCCAAACTCAGGCTGTTGCAATTTTAGAACCCTCAATGAAACATAGTATAATACATGTTATTACATTTTTCAAATTCAAACTTCAACATGACAAGTTTGCACAAGTTGGTACTTGGCAGTTGACCCAACTAAAATACTGTTTGGACTGTATTGCCCCCGGAAGCTCAAATAAGCGGGACAGTTTGCATACAAATGGTACCTCCCGGAGAGGAACGTCCCGACTTTCCACCTGACCCGTCCGTCGACTCTGATGTTTATCATCACCATTCCGGCATTCACGTCTTCGCCGAGCTCCACGGCTAGAAATGCCGCCACCGGGACGGAGGTGCCACTGAGGAACGGGGACCAAACGGTGACGTCTTTGTGGCCTTGGTAAGACTCCGGGAGGAGCGTCGGGAGGGTGATTTGCTCGCCCCGGTAGGTGGCGTAGACGTCGACGTGGTCGTAGAAGACGCCGATGCGTTCGTTTGGGTTTCGGGACGCGATGGTCACTTGGATTTCGGTCGTGATGATGTTGGGGCCAGCTGAGAGGTTGAAGCCGTAGACGGTGGCGTCTTGGAGGACGAAGGTGGGTTTGGTGGGGTGTAGGATGAGCCAGGTAAGAAAGACAAGGGATAGGACGAGGGCTACGAATGATGAGATGCCGATGAGGAGGCGGCGGTAGAGCTTCCGCCGCTCATGCTGGTGGTTGTGGGCGCAGTCCTTTGTCGACATGCCGGCGGAGAAGAGAAACAGGGGAGCTAACTAGTGCATGTTTGGTGTGTTTCTGGCTTTGAAGGAACAAAGATTTGTTCAGGTCTTAAACAGATTTAAAGTCATGAAGACTACATGTTTGTTGTAATGGGATGACAAAGTCTTGCTTGCCTTGACGTAAAGAGAAAAAAAACTTTAGGTTAGGTGTTTCGTTAGGTAATGAGATAATGTTGGGAACTAAATAGTACTCCTACTTACTGCTATAGGTGAAAAAGTCTTTAGCAGAATTGAAGTTGAAAAGTGCCAAACATTCTGTTTAACTATGTGTTAGTTATTTTGTGTTGGCTGAATATTTTTAACAAAAGTTTTCATTTCACTTATAAGTTCAGTTTGAATGGGACACAACATGCATCTCTGGAGTAGCATTGTATCCTTTTGGCACTTTGGAGTCTTTTCAAAGGGTTCTTTCACCGTTTGGGCTTACAGATTCTTGTCCATTTGATCGACAGTTACGTTCCTGTTTCGTTTAACTTACTTTTTCTACTTATTACTTAGGAAAGAGATTAAAATAGGAGTAAAATATTAGGAAAGAATTAAAATGGAACTCTCGTGTTTTTTATCGCCAAATTCTGACCGTAGTTAATTTTTTTAGATTCCCATAGACCCATAAAAAAATTAAATCAATGTTGCCGAATTCTCATCGCAGTGTCACAATGTTAGTATGTAATATTAGTTGAAACTACAATGGCAAAAATGATAATATATATGGATAAATATGGCACTGAGTAATGTAAAACATGTCAATGGATAATCTCGAAAACATAATCAAATGCCAACAAAATAATGTGATTTGCCTACACATATACATCATTTGTATTGTAGAACTTTTTATATACGAAGTAATTTTTTATATGTAAAGGGTACAATTCATTTTTATACTTTACAAATAAAATCAATTTAAAATATATTAAATTTTGTACGTTTTTTCATATAAGATGACAATTTAGGGACAAAGGAACTATTATGATTACTATTATTATTGGGCGTATATGGATTTTTAAAAATATCTTTTGTCCTATTTGGGATAAAAAGCGGGTAAGAGGGAGTTCTACTTTTGCTCTTTTTGTTAGACAATTAATTATGGTCAATATTAATTATAATAGACTTTGTATTTTAGTCTGCTTCTGTTTTTATTTTTCAAGTTCTAGTTGGGTTTGTATTCCCATACACACACACACACACACTCTGTCCTATATTCATTAATTTTTGATCAATACAATTATTCTGTTATTAAATATGGTATCAGAGCTTAGGATTCATCTTTTTCTCCTCTCAGCTTGACCGCCATCGATTCTGGCTTGACCGCCGCCATACCGTCTCCACCTTCGAAGGTCTCAGCCTGTTGCCATCGTCATACTGCCGAAACTTTGGCCTGTTGAAAGCCATCGTGTTCCTGTGCACTGTTCAAGCATGTCAAACGGATCTCGTGGTAAAGATCACTTCGATTCTCTTCCTAGAGGTTTGACTCTTTCTTTATAATTTGCACTCTCTTGTGCTTTTAAATTGGACGGTACGAACTATCCATCATGGTCGTCCATTGTCAAAGAAACTCTTCAGGCACATCGTCTTTCTAGCCATGTTGATGGTACTACGACACCGCCATCATCCACGATCCTTGATAAAAAAGCTTCCCTCAGTGCAGACAAGCAACTAGTTCTAAAAGCAAAATTTGCCTATGAACAATGGGTGATAATTAATGCCCAACTTCGTGCCTCTCTTCTTGCTCTCCTTTCTCCAACTATTCAGAATTTGCTTCATCTTTGTTCCACTCCTGCTGAGATTTGGGATCACTTACATCAACAGTACAACTCTATGTCTCGTACCCATACTTTTTAATTAAAGGAACAACTACATAATCTGCGAAAAGGCCAGTTGACCATGCAGGCATATTTGGATTCTGTGCTCTAAATTGTTATGTCTCTTCCTCTGTTTGAGTATGCTTCTATTAAAAACAATATTTAAACGATTATTGCTGATCTTACCTTTTAACAAAGTTTCCTCATGGTTGTAATCAGAAGAACTTAATCTTCAGATCGAGTAAAAATTGCATCTTGGTCCTCATGCTTCTCCTTCCACTAAAGTACACATGGTATTATATATACAGAACCAATGGGAGAGGTCGTGGCGATTCCATCCGCGGTCGAGGTCGATATCCGGGAAGTCGTGGAGGAGGAGGTCAGACCAGAGGTGGTGGTGGTGGTCGGTACTCGTAAGGTGGTGATAGTGGTCGCGGTCGTGGACCTCCGCACAATCGAGGCCTTATTTGTCAAATTTATGATAGGTCTAATCTTGGTGCTTGGCAATGTTGAAGCGATATGATGATGATTTTTCTGCTGGCCCTTCCTCCAATCCTCCTAATGCTCAAGCTTTGTACACTGCCTATCCCACTGATTCCAGTTAGAATTAGCACCGTGACTCTGGTGAAACAACTCACGTGACTTCCGATCTCTCAAGGTTGAATAACCTTACTTCTTATCACGGCTCAAACTCGGTTTCCGCCACTAGAGGACAATCTCTACCGATATCGTACGTTGGTTCAGGAAAAGTTACTACATCTGCAAGTACTTTTACCATATCTAATATCCTCTACGTCCCTGACCTAAAAATTCACCTCTTTTCAAGTTCACCAATTTATCACTCACAATAACAGTTCTCTTCTTTTTCCCTTAAGAAATTTTTTATCCTAGACAACCATACCAACCATGTGAGATACAAAGGCCGATGTGAGTGGGGTTTGTACACTCTTCTAGCCCGTTCAGTTTTGGCATCACAACCAATGACTGCAGCTCCACTGGTAGCCAATGCCTTGAAGACAACGTCTCATCAGTGGTACTGTCGGCTTGGTCATCTGTATTTAGTGCCGTGCATTATCCGGTCCAAACCCGGACCGACCCGAAGACCGACAAAAACCGGATTGGACCGGTCCGGACCGGTCCCTATTCGGTCCGGTCTCCGGTCCATAATTTTTTCTTATTCGGGCTCCGGTCCGATCCGGTCCAAACCCGGTGAGACTGGTGGACCGACCCGTGGACCGGTTATTTGGGTTTGTATTTTATATTTTACTATATGGATTATGGGCTTTACTTAAGTTACCATAGCCAATTATACATAGTCTAGTACCAACTTTCTTATACACTTCCAAAGTCCAGTACCCACCCCAATTCCAAATCATGGATGATATTGAGTATTGACTATACAACAACAACAACCCAGTTAAATCCCACAAGAGTAGGGTCTGGGGAGGGTGTGTGTACGCAGACCTTGCCCCTACTCGAAAGTAGAGAGACTGTTTTCAAAGAGACCCCCGGCTCAACGTCAAAAGTTGCATTGCTTAACTAACTGCCACTTCATTAATTAAAGAAGCGCAGATAGTTTAGAGATCCATTTTGATTTATTCCATCACACCCCAAAGCCAAAAAAAAGGTGAAATTTTAGCTCCATCGGAGATGAGTATTGACTATTCAATATGATATTTTTTGTTTCAATTTTTGCTCAGTTTTTGAGGTCCAAACATTTACCAAAAGGACTTTTAAGATAGAAAATGGTTCATGTTTGTATTAATCAGATTTTAATTTTTAAGTCTATGATCTATTGGATTTGCAACCAAATTGATTCAGTACTATGCGCTATTAGTCTATTACTATGAATCTGAGCATGATAGAAAGTTTGGTGAGTTAAATCGAAACATCTGAGAGATATTCATAGCCTTTTCAGCTTATTCTGACTCATGTTTGCTATTCTGACTCATGTTTCAGCTTAGGGGTGAGCATGGTACGGTATTTAGCCCGTACCGATACCGTACCAAATATTTCGGTTCGGTATGGGATTTTACACCGTACCGATCCCGATCCCGACATATCGGTTCGGTATGGTTCGGGATGGTTCGGTATCGGTTTCGGTACAAATCGGGATGAATATACATACCTACTTTACACCATAAAGTTTAACAATGTCCCTTTATTTTTGAAAATTAAAAGTGAATTTAAATAAGAAAACGTGAAAAATTAAAAAAATGAATATTTAAATGCAAGGGATGCATATCAAAACATAGTTTATATTTCACAAACTAAAAAAATGAACGACAACAAAGAGTTTTTCGAATCTTTGTGAATACTTTTATGTTTATACACAAAAACTAAAACTCAAATAAAAGTATAACTTACACATGATAAAACTTCAACCAATTTTTTTTTAAAAATTACTCCGTATTATTTAGTGAAGGAATATGAAAAATATTACTCCGGGTTATTATTTTTTATAATATTTTAGTATATATGTTCGGTTCGGGATTTTCGGTATGGTACGTCACCTCGTACCGTTCCCAAATACCGTACCAACCATTCGGTTCGGTTTCTTCTCGGTACTTTTTCGGTTCGGTATTTTTCGGTTCGGTATTCTCGGTTTTTTCGGGAAATTTCGGTATCGGTTCGGTACTTGCTCACCCCTATTTCAGCTTATTGGAGTAATGGAGTATATTGTTTTTCTCAATTTTATTTATTTTTAAAGAAACACTGCCATTGTGCTAAGTGCAAATCTTCAACGATTTAATTTTTTAACATAGTCCCCCTTTATTCGGGCCGGTCCGGACCGGTCCTGTTTTTTCCGGTCCAGTCTCGGTCCGGTCTTATACTTTGTCGGTCCGGTCCACGGTCCACTAATTTTCTCTTAATCGGTCTCGATCCGGTCCGGGTCGGTCCGGGTTTAGACCGATGCACAGCCCTATCTGTATTTTCAAGTTACAAATTTGTTATATTTTAGATTAGGTGTTCGTTTCGCGTATGATGTTTTTAATTGTAACTCTTGTTCTATTTCTAAGTCTCATGAATTACCTTTTCCATTATTTACTTCTATAACTACTGCACCTTTTGAGTTAATACATTCTTATTTTGGGTTCCTACTTTTGTTCTCTTGTTTGGTGGGTGTCATTTTTATATTAACTTCATCAATGATTTTACAAAGTATTGTTGGATCATCCCCTTAAACATAAATCTTTTGCCTTTAGGGCTTTTCAAAGTTTTCATTTCATGGTTAAAATCCGTTTGACAGAGAAATTAAAATTTTTCATACTGTTAATGGTCGTGAATATGTGAATAATCAGTTCAAATAATTTTTACATACTTGGGGGTTCTTCATCATAAATCTCGTCCCTATATGCCTGAAAAATGGGGTGGCTGAGTGCAAGCATCGGCATCTCTTTAAAACTATAGTGTTTCTACTTTATACCTCCTCTCTTCCAATTACCTTTTGGATTGAGGCCTTGGCCACTGCCAATTACCTTATCAATCATATGACAAAGAAATCTCTCCACCACAAGTCTCATATGAGGTCTTCTTAGATAACACCCCACTTGATTATTCTTATCTTTGTGTTTTTTGTTGCCTTACTTATCATTGTCTCCTTCATGAGAATGATCGTAAGCTACAACCACGCTCTAAATGTTGTGTCTTCGTGAGATATGAACAATTGTCCAAGGGTTACCGGTGGTATGATTCGTCCACTAATCGAGTTTATGTTTCTCGTCATGTTCAGGCCTCTTCTTCCCCTTCTTTTGCACCACCGTCCTTTTCTTGTGTTCTTCCTTTATTTCCCACGTCACTCTCCCTTCAGTGTAATCTAGTCCCTCTCACATGGACCACACACAACTATCCACTCGTCACCAACCTTCCCCGCAAATGGCCTCTATCCTCCGCCATCAAACCGACCCACCACCCAGTTTTTAAGAGCAGACTTGCCCGCCCCTCCTTGACCTGCCAAGTGTCACACTTGTTATGCATGTGTCCAACGTCCAAACCAAGCCTAGCCAACCCGTTGCTCCCTCGTCCAGCCCTACACTCAATACCCACCCCCAATCCTCAACACCTTTTCCCATCCCAGCACCTCGATGCACTCACCCAATGACTACCAATGCCAAAAGTGGTATATTTAAACCCAAATGTTTTCTACTTCTCTTCACCCTTTACCTCGTGATTCTGAGCCAACATTGTCTAAAGAGGCCTCCAAATATGAGGTTTGACGTCGTACTATAGATGAGGAATACTCTACCTTGATTAAACAGAACACATGGGTGCTTGTTCCTAAGCCTTTGGGTCGATCTATGATTTGTTGTAAGTTGGTTTACAAAGTAAAGCATAATGCAGATGGTTCTGTAGCGCGCTTGGTAGCTAAAGGATATAATCAAGAGTATGGTTTGGATTACTCGGTAACGTTTAGTCCTGTTGTTAAACAAAAGACTATTTGTATTGTTTTTACTCTTGCTCTTCATTATGATTGGCCTCTTTGACAGTTGGATGTCTATAATGCCTTCTTACATGGTGAAATTGCCAAAGACATTTATATGGCTCAAATTTCTGGCTATATTGATAACAAGTTTCCAAACCATGTTTGTAAGCTTGTCATGTCCCTTAGCTTTATGAACTAAAACAGGCTCCTCGGGCTTGTTATGAGCGCCTCTCTGCCTTTTTGCTTGCTTATAAATTTTGAAAAAACAAGCATGATACTAGTCTCTTTATCTGTCATGGGTCGACTGGTATGCTGATTTTGCTTGTATATGTTGATGATATAATTGTTACTGAAAGCTCACCAGTGCTTTTTTAAAAGTTTATAACTCAAATGTGTGGAGAATTTCAAAAAAAGATCTGGGTCCTCTTGATTACTTTTATAACACCCCAACCCGCGTAACCCGAATAAATAGGTTAGCGAACTGGGTTGCTACTAAATTAGTATCTACATACAATATTTTCCAAAAAATAAAAACATTCAATTTAAACTCAAACAATTTCAATACATATCAGAGTTTATACAAATAGTGCGGAAGCTATAATTTAATAAAATTCCAACTTTTCTAAACACATGCATCCGTACATCTCCTCCGTCATGCAGCTCTCCGGGATGGATTCCAAAATCGATCTTCCACAACCACCAACGTGTAACAAAGGGGAAAAAGGGGCTACACGCTGAGCAATGAAGTTGAGTTATAAATATCTTACAGTTCGAACATACCCATAGGCGAATCCACTAATTCAAAATTATCACATGATATCATGCACATAAGCATATCATACATAATATCACAGTCATGAAATAACAACTTTCAACATTAACAAACATAGAATATTACCTTCTCGTTACTTGATCACCTGATTTCATCATTTTTACTGGCCTCATAACCTATGCTAGGTTAAGACCTATACTAACTCTGATTCTGTCTACTTACTGGGGACATAACCTAATCTAGGTTAAGACTTATCTTTATTATTTTTCTATGGGAGTCATGACCTTCCCCTTCCGAACGAAGGCCAAGCTCGAAACCAACCTATGACTTCTTCGTTTGGTGGGTGAGACCCTTGTACCCTTCGGAACGACAGGTACCACATGGCTCTAACTTACTATACTTATAGCATACCTTGCCACTAATCCATTCAGGTCATTTCCTAGAGTTCTTCTAGGTGATATGTCCAACATTTATTAACCAATACATAATACAATATTCATAAATCCACAATGCATTTAACAAGATATCCAACCTAATCAAATAGCAGCCTAACACTAGGTGTAGACACCCATGTTTACCATCAAACACACGAAGTCTCAAAATCAATCATTGACAAAAACACAGATCAACAACCCCGGTATCGGGTATCAGACGGTACCTGTCACGGTATGGGGTACTGTTCTCACGGTACCTGGGT